GGCCAATATGGTGAATCCCTATCTCTACTAAAAATACAAAAATTATCTAGGCATGGTGGTATGCTCCTGTAATCCCAGTTATATGGGAGGCTGAGGCAGGAGAATAGCTTGAACCTGGGAGACAGAGATTGCAATGAGCTGATATCACACCATTGCACTCCAGCCAAAAAACAACGACATCAACAGCACAATTTTAAAGTTGTGTCCTCTCTTTGGAATCTTTTAGTCTGAATTCATTTTCATCAAATTAATATGTACTGCATAATTATTGCATACAAGTCAGTGTTTAATGCTGTAAATGGGATTTCCCTGAACTTCACTATACAAAGTTGCAGGAACCCAAGGTCTGGAGTAAATATCATCTGCTCAAAGCCACCTTTCCCTGAATATCAATTGCAGAGAGGTTAGCTGCTGAGCCTTTCTTCATATTTAAATGAGAAAAATTTAGAAACATATGGAGGAAAACTCAAGATAATGAATAACTGAAAGATAGTGCATCCCAAGGAGTGCAAGCGAGTCAATAAGGGTATTAGAGGAAGAGATGATTTCAGACATTCTGCTGTCAATCCTCTATCTTATTTCTCATTTTAGGGATTCCTAGCAACATGTAGTCAGTAACCTGGCTATTTAGTACTACGAATCCTAACTAAAAGTTGAGGCCAAAGCACCCTGATTTCCAGGCCCGTGACTTTTCTACTGACAGAAAATATCAGAGAGTTTGCCTGTATAATCTGCTCCAATCGTAATTTTAAATTACCCTATTTGGTTTGTAGAGTAAATGTTACTGTACTCATTTACAAATGAGGAAACTGAGACCATACAAAAAAAGATTAATGTGGCAGATCTGGAACCATAACTCAGATGTTTAAACTTCTTCTTTGAAAGTCTAACAAAATATTAGCATAAGCTGTCATTTTGTCAGATTGAAGAGGGACTACAAACTGTATGTTAAAAATTTTAAAGTTCCATAACTAGGTGAAAGTTAATTAATATCATCAGTTCTATTTTATAACAGCAGAAACAATGGCAAACATATGTACATGCACACCATGTACAGAATATGCAGTTCAAAAATATACCTCATTTAAACTTTAATAACAGCAATGCAATTAGTTAACATTTGTTAGGCTCTTAAAACAGGACAATAAATATGTGAAACACCTCATATGCATTACATGTTTTAATCCTGACAACAACTACATGGCTATTATCTTTTGTACTTCACAGGTGAGGAAACTGAAGCTCAGAAAGTTTTAATTTGTCTAAGTTTATTTAGTTAATAAGGAACTGCCGGTCTAATTCTGGAGTAATAAAATTAACCACTCACACCTATAATCCTAGCACTTTGGGAGGCTGAGGTGGGGGAATCACCTGAGGTCAGGAGTTTGAGACCAGCCTGGTCAACATGGCAAAACCCTGCCTCTACTAAAAATACAAAAATTAGCCAGACGTGATGGTGCATGCCTGTAATCACAGCTACTCCAGAGGCTGAGGCAGGAGAATCACTTGAATCCGGAAAGCAGAGGTTGCAGTGAGCTGAGATCGCACCATTGCGCTCCAGCCTGGGCAACAAGGGACAAACTCCATCACAAAAATAAAATAAAATTAAATTAAATTAAATAAATAAATAAACCACTATTCTGTGGCAGTTCTCCAAAGGAGAGCACTGCAAGTTATTGATATATTTAAATGCGTAATAGAGTCCTTCATATGGACCCTAAGGGAAACTTTAGAATGAGGTCCTAGTACAATAGTTGGCTACTTTCCTTGGGGCAACAGGAGATCAACAAACAAGAAAATTCAATGGCAATGAAAACAAATGGACATTCTATCAATTTAGCCATGAAATTCTATTTAATATCTACTTTGCACTAAGCACTTTAGAGATGCAAATATTGGTCCGATGAGAATTATGTTGTGAATGAGCTTCAGTTTTGTTGTTGGGGGTTGAAGATGTAACAGGTGTGATCATGAGCCACCTATATTGTCTTTATGTGGGTATGTTCCAGTTTACCATAGTTGCAAAATTAATAAGATGGTGTTTATAGCTTAGAGCTCATGGAGATTTTTGTGTTTGTCAAAATTGTACTGTTTCAGAAAACAGTTATTATAAATTCACTGAAATAAATGCATTGTTCCATTTTTAGTATCTTTAATAACAACGTTTCTCTTCAGTCCAGTCTTTGGTTTTCATATTTATATCTTTAAACCCTACTACACTTCCCTCATTTCCTTCCACATTCTTCTATGCATTTTGCTGTGAGAAAGTTGAATCAGAGAAAGGCAAGTTTAGCCTAATATGAAACTTCCCACTTAACAGAGATCAGAAAATAACAAGACATTTTTCTCTAGGTTTTCATGACTGGACTGCAAGACTTCCCGGGGAATATCTCTTGAAATGCCAAACCAGAAGTAGTAAAATGTCTTCTACCCAGAGCTAAAACCTTGTCTCCTAAAACCTCTTAAAATTTAATGGCATAAATATATCACATTAACACCCAAACTACTACATTAAAGTAACATTATGGTTCTTGACGAATTACATCCACCATGATTTAGCAAATTCTGGGAAGGCATTGCTGTTCTTGGTTTGAGCATCAGCTTACGTAGTATGCAGGGTTTACTGAAGCGGACATTCCAAGTGGGAAGTAATTTATATTCACCAATAGGCACTGACAGGCTAGGTCCAACAAGGTTATGTATTATATATTTCAACAATTGTCAAAAATATTTATTGAGACCCCATTTTGTGCAGATCTGTGAAGTTCATGTTCTGTGGGGGCACACAAAACCAAATAAATGATGCGGACCTTTACCCTCAACAAACTTAAGAGTTTTTAGAAGGGACTCATAAATCAAGTTGAAGATTATATTAGATGACTTTTAACATTTTTTCCAACCTGAAATCTCTAAAAATATTCCATAGTTTCCTCCATTTATGTATTCTAATTTAATTTCACCTCGCAAAAAAAAAATGATTTGATATGGTTTGCCATAAGGATTCATTTAGTCTAGCAGACTAAAAAATAAGTAGGTAATTATAACAGGAAGTTGACACAAGAGTTACCTTAATTGGGCATTAAATTAGACAGACATACTTTTATTTATGGCAGTAATACCTGAAAGTCTTAACATTCTCTACACTGAGGGCAGGAGGAAGAAACAGAAAAAATAAGCTTTGTGAGACTTTCTCACCAAAGCCAAACTTGGTTATTGTTTTGAGAATACAGTTCAGAAACTTATGCCATTCTGTGCAATTTTATTGTGACTTAAATCAGAAAAGAAAAAAATGTTTTCTACACGTAAAAAAATTCTGTAAGGATTTTAATACTGGAGGGAAGAATAGAAAATGTTTATGTCTACTTGTCATTCTAGATTTTTGTCATTTGTATGACAGGATGCAGAACGACAGTTGGGTTAAACAGCAAAGGTTAGACTGGAGAATCTCTCTTTTTAAAAGTTTTAAAATTTGTATCATTTTTAAGTATTGTGGGTACCTAATTGTTGTATATACTTATGGGATACATGTAATATTTTGATACAAGCAAATAATGATCAAATTAGGGTAAATGGAGTATCCACATCCTCAAGCGTTTATCATTTCTTTGTGTTAGAAGCAATTCAATTTCACTGTTTGAGTTATTTTGAAATATACAATAAACTATATTGTTATACATCTATGTATGTATGTTATACATCTATCTATCTAGATTGACTTAACTATAGTCACTCTATTGGTTATACAACTATCTATCTATCTATCTATCTACCTATCTATCTATCTATCAAGCTATCTAGGTAGGTTGACTTAACTACAGTCACTCTATTGTGTTACTGAACACTAGATCTTGTTTTTTGTTTGTTTGTTTGAGGCGTCTCACTCTTGTCTCCCAGGCTGGAGTGCAGTGGCGAGATCTCAGCTCACTGCAACCTCTGTCTCCCGGGTTCAAGCAATTCTCCTGCCTCATTCTTCTAGCTGGCATTTCAGGCACCTGCCTCCATGCCTGGCTAATTTTTATGTACTTTTAGTAGAGATGGG